AAAAAAAAAATTCTCCCCCCTAGACTGGAGATAAAGTGACTAAAAGCCCACATTTCTCTTCAAGAAGGACTCAAAGCTGGTTCCCAGCTTCCAGGTCAGACAGCTCACAACTGTCTGTAACTCCGGTGGAATCTGGTGCTGATTTCTGGCCTCTGTGGCACCTGCCCTCCTATGTACGGACTCACCCACAGAGAGAAATTCATAAACATGGTTAAAAATAAAACAATCCACTCACATTATAGCATATTAGCAATCATAGACTATGTCTCCATACATCATCCGACCTGCTTTTGTAAATTAACATGTAAGGAGTACAATGACTGATCTACAGTTGAGAAAGATGTTCACTGGCGCAATTAGAATTGGTACCAATAATTTTTAAATGGCAAACCCACAGATAGATCTGAAGGTTATCTCATTTCTCAACACTCACAGTAGAAATAGCATTCAAATGACATTACTCTGAATATTTCTGCATAATTCAACTGATTATAATGATTGTATCTACAGTATTGTTTGGTGTGCTTTTTGTCTTTTATGAATCTTCCATTATTTTATAATCCCAGTGAAAACTCTATTTTCTCTGTAACTACTGACTTTGCTTTAGTGGGCAGACAAATACTCAAACCCTGGTGCTAATTAAACAGACTGGAAAGTTACCAAGGTCTCTTCAGATCCCCAAGAGCGTCTAGCATGGCTCTGAACACCTGTGCTTCCTGTAAACCATGGTTCTCATTAAAGCATGGCACTCTCTTCTAAAGACAGAGAATGAAAAGTATCACCAGCTCCAGGCCATATTCTCTTGGCAGCTGTCATTTAAGCTGGAGTGGCACTTGGCAACTGGAAAAAAAAAGTCACACTCTATCACTTAAAGGCAAGAGAGGTGGTTCAAAGGGAAGTCTTCAGACATCTTTAAGTTTGCAGAAGACCTTTGAAAGAATTGACAATTTATCAACACTGAGCTGTTGCTCTGGTCTCAAATAGTTTTCCATACTAGTCTTTGTTGCACTGTGTTCAAGATGCTAGGAAGTGAAGGCCACATGGCAGACTCTCAGTCAAGGGACAATGAGATAAATGAAACGAGTCTGGGGAGTTAGTGATCTGCATCATGATGTTTGAAAGTGGCCCTGACAACTATTTGTATTTAGGGTCCTTGATGATCATGATTATTTCAGAGTTAGAGGAGCTCTAGAGGATTCTAACAAAGTAACTGTAAGCTTTGTCCTCCTTGCCCTGGCGATCAATCTCTATTCATCAGACTTGTAGCTTTCCCATTGATTACACACAGAACTTCAAGGGCAGATAGTTTAATTCAGTAGCAAGCCAAGGTCTCCTTTTCTTTGCATTAAGAGACAGAAACTAGGACCAACTCAAAATAAAATCTAGTCAGGCTAAACCAATAATAAAATGTAGATTCTAATAGGTATAAAGTAAACAAATACATGATTTTGATATTAGTTTGATGATAGAAAAGCAATTATCTGAAGGTAATTTCTAGATCTGGGAGCAGTTGTGGAGATAATTGTGATCAAAATCTATTGTGCTGAATTCTCAAATAATTAATAAAAACACTAATTAAAAATAAATCTAGAGTAAAAAATGTATAACTAGTTATTATACCATTATTTACATTTAGAAAATAATAAACAGTATAGAAAGAGCTGGATAGGTATAAGAACCCCCCCTCCCCCCACACACAAAAAAATAAAAACAGAAAACAAAACAAAAGAAGAAACAAAAATCATCCAAGGGTAAAATCTTTCAACTTCAAATCTGCTGCAAAAATTCACTCCAAAGAACCATACATAAATGTAAAATGTGAAGTTATGAACTTAGAGAACAGGGTTGGGCATTGGTAACATATGCCTTTAATCTCAACACTCACCAGACAAAGATGGGGTATCTCCTTAAGTTTGAGGTTAGCCATGTTTACACAGTAAGATCTCAACAAAGCACAGAACAAAAAGGAGAAAATCTTCAAAGCCTGCAGGAAGTTTTATATCTATGACCTGGAAGCTTACATTCCACCACCAGTAACTTGCATACTGTTAGCACTCTTCTAATACATATTGTGCAACTTTTAAAATTTCCTTTCTTTAAAAAGCTTTCTCTTAAAATGCTTTTCTCTAGCCTCTTACCCTTCGTAAACCTGTCCAATCTCCAACCACCCTTTGACACTCAGTCAGGGCATTTCCAGAAGGACTTCTGTTCCTCCTCTGCTAATGAGGTTGAGGTTCCTGGAGACACAGCTCAGCCACACATGGTTTGAATCATCTGCTATGTCAGGTTAAACTTAGCAGATTGTGAGCCTGTTTTCTTTTTGATCATGTCTAGAATTAGGGACTCACTCCCTTCATTTCTCAGCCATCTGGTATATCCTAAGACACAGCAATTTTATTGGAAAAAATCAGGAATATATGTCATCTATTAAGTA